GGAAGAAGTAGCACGTGTAAGTGTAAGGTACGAGAACACGTGACGGGAAGTTTAATAATTAAGGGTTGAATCCCACGGTTGTCGAGGAAAGAGCAAATCGAAAATGAAGTACTGTGGAAGGTAACCAATCAAAACGTTTCTCCAAAAGATATATTCTTTTCTTTTAATGATCGGGGCTGCATTCAGGGTTGCGTTCAAAAACTTTACTTCGGGTGCACACCAGCGTCGCGTTCTGTCCTTGTTCAATTTTTAGTAAATAAGAAAAATAGAATGACGCGGTGTACACCCGAGTAAAGTTTACGAACGCAGCCCAGGGAGCGCGCTATTCACTTATTGGTTAAGTGTGATTGGTTGGATCTAAAAGTAAGAACCAATCATATTCGGTTGCTACTTTGCGCCAGGGTTAGCAGAGGTTCGGCAAAACGCAGCCGTTCTATCCTAGAGTCCCTTATTATAAGAGTCTGGACAGACTGGTCCTTATTTTTATTGGACGTGCAACACCATGGCGGTGCAACACCAATCACGAGCGGTAAAATAGCGAGAAGAGCTCTCTCAGAGCCTCTTTTAGAGTGCGTATTATGGAATTTTTCGAAATAGATTCCGATCGGAATTGTTATTTCCTGCATTTCTATTGTGTTTTTAGAAAAAACAGTGTAATTTCGATAGGAATCCATTCCGAAAAGTTCCATAATACGTACATACATAACACACTAACGATATTTGTTACGTGCTTTATTGCTACAGTTACTATGTTTACGCGAGCGTTACTTCTGTAGTAACTTACGATAATTCCTTCGCGTAAACGGGATTTTGTTGTAACTTACGATAATTTACTCCGCGTAAACGAGCAAATAAAAAGTCTAAGAAACGATACAAAAAATGTTTTTAAAAAGAAAATCATTCCATTTTATTTCGCGAGACCGAATTTCTTTCGATTCACCCATGTTTTCCCCTACTGGGAAGAAAACACGGAGGAGCCGTGTGAGTCCTTTTTTATCCTTATACGTAATGACACTACGAGAGAACGATTCTCTCTCACGCGCGTACTTATCCCAAGAGAGTCTCGACTCAAGATCTTATTTCAATTCGCACAAGAGAAATCGAGATATCCGTACATTATTTTTTGGCGAGCCGAACCAAATGCTCAATGCGACGCTGCTGTTGGTTCGAAATCGATAATAAAGAAAAGCTGACGAATCACGATTTTCTTTACCTGTCTGTACCTATAGGCTTGTAACGTGTATATGCAGCGAAGTATAAGAGAATAATAAAAAAAGTAAAGCAGAAGCAACGACAAGGATACACACTTTTTATATGCATAATTTATAAATTTTTATCTTTAATATTAAAGGAGATATATATACCATATACCACATGTTGTATGTGTGAATGAATTATTGGTTATTTAAATTGATGTATTATAAAAGTAGTTATTCGTTATTATCAAAGTCACTATTATATATATATATATATATTAACCTTTGTACTTAGAAAATCTTATTTAGAAAATCTCCACAGTAAAGTGTGAGAAAATATTATTTTTTTTTACTTTGGATGACTGAAGTTAAGTCAAAACTTATTAAAGATACAATAGAGAGATACAATAGAGAGAGAGAGAGAGAGAGAGAGAGAGAGAAAGAGAGAGAGAGAGAGAGAGAGAGAGAGAGAGAGAGATGTGTGTGTGTGTGTAATCGTTATTGAAATTGACAAAAAATTCTGATTATTGCGTATAAAACTTTCCATATAGCTTCTAAATATAGCTTCTAAACCGGGAATCATCATAAACTAAAGTCAGGGCTAATTGACTTTAGCATTCAAGATGTATCGGGAGTCGTTACGCTATTTTCAGTGCTTATCGCTGAGAAAATAAAAGGGGACAAGTACAAGCGCACTTCATATAATGACAATCTGCACGCTTCATCATTTTTACTGTGGCTTCCACTGCTTTCAACGGGTTATTCTTCCAGTGATGAATCAGGGGATAAAGTGATTCTCAAATTTAAGGAGAGAGCTTCTCCGGTACTGTTGCACGCAATCGTTCTTCAGACGCGCTATTTTTTCGTATCCATAGCCAAGTTGCGTGTGTATCGGCGTCAGACAAAGATCAACGTAAAAGGTCAACGTAAATGTGGTCATGGTCTAGTTTACTTGTTCAACAATCTGTAAATAAACATTGCATGATTGCAATTCGTCGAAATGCCGATGTTCACGCAACCGACAGAATGAGAGTACATCTTATTTTCCTGGATGGACTATTTAATTTTAATTAATTAATTTAGGCATATATAATTTTCTTCTTATAACAAAATTTATTTCAATTTTGATCCAGTACAATTGTCTGATACACAACAGGAAGAGAGCTAATTAAAAAACTAAAAACATAAACTTTCTTGTTTCTTTTTAACTCTGTCTATTATTGTTACAGTGACAACAGCGGTAAATATTTTAAAGCATTTTACTTCGTTACGAAGTCTCCGTTAGTCGTTCAATAACAAAGTACTTTAATAAACTAGAAAGAAAAAAAAACATTTGGTATTTTTACAACGGCAACGGGCCACAAGTTGCAGAATGTAACGTTGCAAGCGATCAAAATAACTAAAGGCAGCATAGTTGCGTTATATCGGCGCGGATGATCGATACCTGCAGCGGTAACGATTTATGAAAGGCATGACCAACGCCGAGGGTGTGGTAGCGCGAGTACAAGAGGGAGTGGGATACAGATCTGAAGATTTGAATCGTGCGCGATGCTATCGCCGAGCGGAACAGTGAAAGTAACATCTTAAGTAAAAGTGGTTTCGCACACCGATGTAAGAACGCGCGCGCCATGCTCATTACGGCAAATCGAGACCGCGCGAATCGAGCCTCCCTCTTAGTCACTGTAGCCGGTTTTTTTTTTTAGTTGATCCTAATTAAGCACTCGACGAGGAAACGAAACAGTTATAGATAACATATTTTTCGGCCTTTTGCACAAAAAGGATTTATTGTATGTATATCGGACAAAAGAGCAATTATACACTAATATTACTTTTTTATTAAAATAATAAATAATATTTAATAAAGCAGTACCTAATATAAAAATAATTAATAAAAACTTGTTAAAAAATAAATTGTTTCAGAAATAAAACCCAAATTTTATGCCTAAAATAAAACATTTTATCTTGTTTTTTAAATGCACTATGGAAAATATGAATTACATGTGTAATAAATTTAATTCGCTCCGTTTAATGTTTAATCCAAAGTTAATGTTTGAATTAACAGGTGACAGAACACTTGAGATTAACAAACGTTTATTAACAATTATTAAAAAAATAATATATATTTATATTAATAAAAACTTATATATAACAACGTAAAAAAACATGTAACAAAATTATCTATAAACGGTTTGTCAGATTAAAATCTGGCGTCAATAGATTCTATAACGTATGCACTAATGTGCACATTAGTGCATGTGTTATATTTTGTCTTCATTTCAGTCAACAATATATAAATCTTAAGAAAAGATTTATATATAATTGTAAAAGTAAATTCAAGTAAAAAAACGTTCTCAAGATACAAACATTCGCGTTAATACAATTATCGGATCGATCGAAATCGAGAGGAATTGTTCCAACGGATTCTTCGATGCTAGAACGCGGTTATAAGACAATATTTGATATCCGCGAAGTTTAATGCCCTTTACCCTTAGACGTGTAATGCACCACGTGTTTGTAGACTGGGACATGAACGGGATATGGTTTCGCCACTGGCACGGGGAATTTCTTCTCCACGTAGACGGGATATGGCTTCTCCACGATATAAGGGACCTTTATAAAAAGAAATGTGGTTACATATATAACATACGTGCTTCGCGTGGTACAGCAAATTTTAAATTTTCCAATAATCGTGAAGGATAAAATAGATAAATCAAAAGAAATAGAATATATATTAAAAGCGTTTATTCTACTTTCGCACTAATTATAAGATAAAAAGCATAAATAATGCATAGTACTATATAAAAATATTAAAACTTGAGAATTATACTTACATGCTTCTCGACAATAAAAGGCTCTGGCTTCTCGATAGGTATCTCGACGTGTTTAACAACTTCGACCGGATATGGATGAGGGATCTCGAATGGCACCTTGTAGGGCTGAGGCACTGGTATTTGAATTTCCTTGGGCACTTCGACAGGTACAGGATGCGGGATAGGTATAGCTGAAACGGAGCAATTACGCAATTATGCAATTGTACGTATGCAATTAAGTATTTATACTTTATAAATGTTTTACATAACGATAGAAAGTATTTATCTGAGTAAATTATAAATATATGAGATGTTACTTCCATCTCCTGCTCTAAGAATAATCAAATGCGATGTACGATGATCTGATAAGCTTGAAAAATTTTAATTAATATTTTTGAGAAAACAAGCTTACCATATTTTTTAATAATTGGAATTTCTACAGCTTTTGTTTTCTCTTCATACGATGAACCACCGTGATCCTCGGCATAATGGTTAGCTAACACCATATCGCCGAACGAAACAAGACTGAACAAAAAAACCTGCAATTTTATATTATTTTTTCATACTCCGCTTTATAATGTTTCCTAATTTTTAATATTAAAACCATAATACAGTAATTTACAAAATTATAAAATTATTGTTACAGAAATTTCTATAAAAAAGTTGTAAAAGAGTTACAAATTATTTTATTTTTGTAACTACTTAATTTCTAAAAATAGTTTTTAAACCTTTATTGTATATAATATTAAGCATGTTTTTATTGCACAATATATAGTAGAGTTCTTTATTTTTTTATCTAAAAAATTGTCACTTCTTTTATTATATCAATTAACACTGTTTAACACGTTAAACACATATTTGTCGCACGACATGCAAGCGAATGCCTGAATCTTACAATTTTATTCATGTTGATGTGCTTTTGTGGGGCTAGTAATGATGCGAACACGAGAAATCAAGCGTTGAATGACTATGTCCCTCAAAGATCGACTTTATATACCGACTTCGATTCCACCACCTTTCACAGCCTGCGATAGAGTTTTAATTCTTCTCAGGATATATCACATTGCATTTCACATCGTGCAACAATACTCATCGTATCAGAAAGGACTATACTCTATCAAGATAAATATAAAAGGATTGCTCTACATACACATATGAAAGACTACCTTCTTTCTTTAAATGTATTGATCCATTGCACCATGTACTTTTTGCACGGAAGTCACAATATGATTACGCATGTATTATAAAACATTGAGATCAGAGAAAGTGTAGATGATAGAATTTGTGACTTGATTGCGCCATCTTACAAAAAATTAATTTTTTTACGAAATTAAGAAACAATTGCATAGCTAACGCACTGCCCATTATATACATTCGTATTTATTTTTTTACAATACAAATAAGATATTAGCTAACTTTAAACAAGCTGCAATCGGATCAGAATGTAAAATAAAATTTGATTTATAATGTTATTAAATCATATCTTACAGGTTGCATAAAGTGAGAGTTATTATTAGAAATTTGACGAGATTCGGATTTAATTATATATTTATATAAAACTATAGAAAATCAGTTTTTAAAAAATTTTAATCCATTTATTTGTAATTTTCTTGTACTTGGAGAGAGTAAATTTTCCATTAAAAAAATTATATAACTTCAATAATTTTTAATCACAAAGTTTTAAATGTCACAGTATTAATCACTTTATCAGGTTGTCTTACAACTTATAGGTGTGATGTATCTTATTAGGAATATTCACGATATTTCTATTTTATTGTTCGATACTGTGCAGTAATAAGCTATTACTTGGGACGTGATCGTTAAGTTAAGTAAGCATTTTATGATTACCATGCCATGGGTTTGATTAAATTGTTCAAAAGAGTACGGTAGGCAGGTATGATATTCAAATGGGCAAACGTTAAGATATTCTGTGGAAGGAAAATTACGAAGATTTTACGGAGAAATTACGGAGCTTTAGGCAAAGGTAAACGCATGTGATAGTTCCGTTTACCGGAAGTGAATAAGGTATACCATGTATGTACAATCTCGAAGACTTTCCGATGTTCCTGTAGGATGTTCGTACAAATTCAATTATGTTAAATGACTATGTTGGCTAACGAATGGGTCCAAATTTACGAGCAAATGGCAAAATGTCTCGGTCGTTACTCGGAATAATTACTAATTCTCTCGAGACAAGTGATCAGAATGACTCGCCTGAATTTTTTTTTACTGTGCTGATTTGGCTCGATAAACATAGGAAAGGAGTGTCCAACGAACATACAAAATTTGATTTCCGTTCACTTATATAAATGCAAACTTCCCGGCAATCACGCAGCGAGGTAGTTCCCTCTGTATATTGTTTTTAGACTCAACTAGGAAGTGAACGCAAAGCATACTCTTGCTCGGAGAGACAGACGATACATTTTTTTTTGATACGTCAGAATGAAAGTACGAAACATAACGCTTTCTGTGAAAGGGTTCCGGCCGGAACACTGATCAAAAGACATTCGATTGTGAAAGGTGGCGTGAAACAGCCTTAAAAATGGATTAGTGATAGTCAAAGATATTCGATATCCGATAGTAGATAAAATAATAAAAACTTATCACATACATTAAGCCAAGTTTGTTATATCCGCTATATTGACGACGAAAGAAAAGTTTTCGATAAATTCGGGTTGAATAAATTTATGATTTATGCATATGAATACATATTTTAGTTCCAAATAAAATAAATGTAACAACGTTGGTGAGAAAAAGGTGCAAAATTAAATAAAGGTGTTTACATTTAAAAAATATTTTAATAATTTAATTATTTTTATGCAATTATTTATCAGATATTTCACAATATTTATCTACACTTATTAATAAATGCATCGGAATTGTAAATTTGCAATATTTTGCAAAGAAAACAAATTAAAAAATGACAATTACATCTATTCAAAAATATTTAATAATGGAAGTATTGTAGTGTTTTTATACAGTTATTTTTTTTCAAATTTATTTCCCGGTTAATTATTATTCACATGGCAAGTTTATCATGCGCGGAAGGAAATGCGTTGCTAATGCTTGGAGAAACTCCGAGGCGACTCTAAAGTGAAGACCACCTCAATTAATGTCCACGGTGAAGCGATACCGCTAATTCGCTCTCATGGAAAATTGGACGAACTTACGGACGCAGAAACTCACGATCTGTCACTCACCGGAGTTTAAGTCCGCGGTCCAGTTCGATTTCAATTGTTCCTCGGTATGTACTAATGGCGCAACGAACGAGATCTGACCTACAACCTCTGGCATTGGAGAAAGTATGAATTCTCGGTCGTGCTTCTTAAACATGACAGAAATTACGTCGTTTAAATCAATCAATCTGCTTTTTAAACATGACAAAAATTACGTCGTTTAAATCAATCAATCTGCTTGTTGTATATCTCCTGCTTCAAATAGTAACAATAAAACCTCAAGTCTTTTTGTTTTCATTATTACATAATAAACGTTTATGTAATATTAGTTCGAAAAATGCTATAGAGAATTAGATAAGAAACAATAGAGTATAAATTGAATATAATAGATATTTGAAATTTACTCTGCCTTAATCTGAAACTTATCTCAAGTTTTTATAAAGTTATGAGAAGGCATTGGCTAGAGACAATATTATAAATTAATAATAAAACTTATGTACACAGAAATAACATGTAACATTATATATAATATAACAAAATTGTTTGTGAATTGTCTAATAATGTGTAATTAATAGAAAAAAAAGTGAGATACGGATATATGATGGAAGTGCTAATTGAACAAGATAAAAATTTCCTGAATAGAGAGGTAATGGGTCAGAAAATTTCTCATAATAATAGAGAAAGGAAAAGAGAGAGGGAAAGAGAGGAAGAGAGCATTACCGAGGATTCATAATTCTTCTTCGGCGTGGTATACGTGGTATACGCATTTAAATATAACGAGCGTGAGTCAACGAATCCGCTCCGGTAACGTGGAAAAAGGAAGCTAGCGTAGGAAGTTCGCGTCGGGGAAGAAAAGGCTTATGGCGAAAGTGAAGTTCAAAGTCGATTTGCTCTACCGACAATCACCGACGATCGTGCCGCCGCAAAAAGAGGAGCCGCCCGGTTGGTGATTGTATATTAAAGCGCGCCTTCCTGATTCGTATACTGCCCGAGGTTACTTACTCATACGCACGTAGCGTATGTATCTACAAATGTACCCAATCGATCGGCTTTCTCATAATTGAAGGGAGTTGGTTTCTTCCCGCGGCACAGAGCAACCGCGTTCAATTATAATGTAACTAGCCGATCGTGGCGCACTTTAAAATAATGCACGCGCAAAGTTGTATTTATTGGATGATCGCAGCATGCCAAGAGTGGAATGAAGTAAACTGAGATCTTTTTGCTTAAACAGCTTCTTTTTGCTTTTCAGTTTGCATACCATTAAGATGATTTAACGGATATTACGGCTTAATACGAGATGCCGGTACTCGGAAATGGAGTGACGAAGTATGCGCAACCGCAATCATCTCAAGTATCATTCCAAAACGTCGAAGTGCTATGACGTTTTTCGTTACGTGTCGCGAGAGATCACTCTTCCTGCTTTTACAACGGTCAAGACCACCGCCACGATCGGAGAAAGAAGCAATCTACAAGACCTTCCCTTTCGCTACTACTTTAAATCACTGCCATGCGTTCATGTTCGCCCATCGACGTTTCTGTTCTTTCGTCCGTACATCAGGAAGAAGGAATTGTTGTTGCATAATTTTTTTAAATTTGAAATTTGCTTTGACTTCACGTTTGCCGTCTATCTCCGCTTTGTTGGGGTGTCTCGCAATTAAAATGTATTCTCTACCGCGGCGCCGCGCCGGTCTTTTCACTTCCACCTACCTTAAAGAAATAGAAGATTTGCATTTCTCTTTCGCCATGCTGGTTTTTCCCGCTCGAAGTGCTTCATTATTTCCGTTTTGTTTTTGCAGAAATATAAACTATTGCGCAAAATTATTCCTTGCATAAATTTAAATAAAATTAAAGAAAATATAAGAGGAAGTGAAAAGTGAAATGCAACATTATACATGCAAGATAATATTTCTTGATCTAGTAAGAACTAAGCATATTAAAATCCGGTCGATTCTTAACTAACTTGGCTTAACTACACTGACTACTTTACACTCGGACTCATGTTTTAGAATAGAGGATTTTTAAAAAAATATTGTTTGACGGGCAATCTGGCCATTATAAGTTACTTCAGAATTGATTGAACGGAAAACGTCAATTCAACTAATTGTAAGATATACAATCCACTGCGTAAAAAGAAAATAAATGTCTATTCGGTCTCGCACTACTTTATTTTCACATTAGATGGAACCAATCATCAAGCAACTATTTCGACTCGTGCGCGTTTAAGCAATTATGTAGATTTAAAACGTTCAGAGAGAATTATTCGAACGGTGAAACTTAATGTGTCGCTTATTACTGTACTGGCCTAATCGCAACTGAATTCGTTAGCATACGGCGAACCATTTAGCAAATTAGTGTTTTTATAACATATTTTTATAATATAGGCATCTTTCTTAGAATATCTAGAAAATGGTCGGTGCTATATATATGATCGTAAAAATAACGAGCACGATATTAACGACACGGACCGTCGTCATTATTAATATCTTACTTCAATTTACCACTAGATTTCGAATCGCTGTGGCGTTATTATTTAAATCATTACTACAGTTTTTTGCACGTTGATTTCGCTTTTCACGAAACGACTAATACTAATATGTTGATTGGAAATTCAATTAAGACACAATTTATAACAGTTCTTTAGCAAGTCATAATTTAATATCCGATGAGGTACAATATAGCTGCATAATTAAACTAATATTTCTTAATACAAATGTTTCTATATTAAATATAATTGTCAAATTTTGCATGTATAAAATAATTTTTCACAAAATCTAAGTATATAACAGTTAAGTCTTGGCGTAAGGAAATAAAACAAAGCTGTCTATTCTATTAATGCAAACGTTTTAATAAATAATTGTCCCACGGTGCTGTAATATAGCAGATAGCGCAATATTTTACCTTGCACTGTGTATATAATATATATATCTTTGATAGGATATACAGATTAAAAAAAATATATTAACAACAAAGAGGGGTCGTATTTCCGAGGGATTAATGCTTAACTGTGTGCACGATGGTCTTGTAGACTGGAATCTTGATCGGAATCGGCTTTTCGACTGGCACGGGCACGTGTTTTACCACATGAAATGGTACCGGCTTCTCGATCTTAATCGGAATTATTTTCTCGACGGGCGTCGGTACCTTTTTCTCGACAGTCTTAAACACTTGCTTCTCCACCTGTAAAGACAAGAGGCTGTTTTCAGTGAGAGATAACGGAGAGTGATTTTATTCTAAAATTCACGGTAATTATCGCGCAATCACCTCGAATGGTACAGGTTTCGGTACTAGCACATGAACGGGATAAGGTTGCGGGACCGTTTGCACCACTGGGTGCGGTACGCTGATTGGGACCTGTTGGATCGTCGGTATTCCTACGTCGCCGCGGATATCATGCAACATAAAAATAAAATAAGTCGCTTGAAAATGTTTAATAAGCAATAAATAGTCTTAAAGTGTCAATGCAAAATTATTATTATTATTATACATAATAATATCCAAATGTATTGGCGTACATTAATAAAGCGTCACATTTCGTATTACCAATATGTTTAACAATGGGAATGACATTGGCTCCGTGAAGACCGCTGATAGTCGAGTGCCAATCACTAACTTTTATCGGCAAACCTCCCAACAAATCTAAGGAATGACTTTCTAAAATTCAAAACCATTTATCAGCATTTATTCATCAGATCGATATAATGAGACATTTACATGATAAAGCTGCAGTTGTACGTTATAATTATCACACTAAATCCTGGTCACGCTGTTACCTATCGCACAGCTTATATGCATTAGAAAATGCATTTCAGAAATAAATCGTGCAATAGATAGGCAACAAAAAATAAATATTCAAATCTGTACCTCCTAGGCTAAAAGCTCCCAAGTCATGATGATCTAAGGAAATTTCTCCCAGCGTAAGCCCGCCGCCGCCATGATGCTCAAAGTCCCAATGGGAACTGTAGGAGCAGGCGACGACTCCCAAAAGCACAATCTTAAACATGAAAAATCACCAAAATTGTAAAAAAAAAACATGATTTAGCTCCACTATTAACAGTCTCTAAATTAATGAGAAATTATTCACTCCACAAGTTTCACAAGAATTCATGAGTTTATTTAGTCCAAATAGTTGAAGATAAATGATTATATTAAACACGAGATCGTTTACAAAGTTTACATCTTATTACCTAATAAAGATGGGCCTTTACGTACAATTTTTTTCATTCCTTAGCTAATGTATCGTCGATGAATAAGTAGTCTACTCTCGGGACAGATTCTTTTGTCGTCACTTTATATACCGCCTACTGAGAAACAAGCAACCCCACTATTCTTTGAAGTAACCCCACCGTAGATGAAATAGATCGCTCGATTGAGGAACTAATCGTTTGCGGTCACCATTACGCGCAAATGTTAGATAACGTCTGATACTCCTTCCATAATTACATATCACTGCTTTACTTTCTCACTGATTGATATATGAATTTTAGGTATGAATCTAATTTTCTTGTCTTAATTTTGAACGTTGCGTGTATTTTGAATAAATCTTTTATCAAAACTTGCCCTTATTTATCTAACGTTACGTAAGATTAATCGAGAAAAGCTTTATTTAAATAAAGTATAAATAAAATATCTTTTTCTCGCGAAATTTTATATTATAATAGAAAAATAATTAAAAACGGAATGTATAGCGCAGCGTTTTTGAAATGCATTGTTATATCTTAAATTTTATAATTTCCAATTTTATTTGTAAGAATACACAGAGGTATTGCAATAGTGCTTTCATATTTCTTTTGTAGAGTTTTTATCTTGCAAAAGTGAATACTTCTTTATAAGTCACTTCTTGTCGTTTTCCTGGTTATATTTTTTGTTATAAAATGCAAGAACGGATTATCTCTCGTTAGATACAACGATGTTGCCGATGTCATGGATGATTTGTTGCATGCGACCACGATGATCCCGTCCATCGCGCGGGCAAATCAATCTTGTCTAACATCCACTTTCCGCGGAATTCCCATGCTTTTATCGAAAATCACAGTGAAAGCCTGTCACGAGCACTTTTCGCGCTCTACGACCTGTAGTGGAACGCATATATACGAACTGTAAACGATGCTAGTTTGATTACCATTACCAACGCAAATTTTCCACAGGTTCTTTTATTGAAAAAATGACTGGATTTTACAGTGAAACAATTACTTCATATTACTCGCGAGTTAAAAGTGTGTACTTGAATCATGCGATAGCTTTTAATAGCTCAAAAGAAAAAAGCAATGAACACGTAATAATTTCAAAAATAAATACCAAGTTGATATATTGAAAAGTAATGTAACAATAAAACAGAATGTAATATATATATTAGAGTATAATTTCTATCAAGAGGCACGGTAGTGTTTCGTGCCAAGTGTACATGCAACGAGACACAGCTAGATCATGTCTGATCTATAGATAGCGAGCCGACGAATTGAGAGACACTTAGATTATCGAATCTCAATAATGACTATACCAATCAAGGTCTGAGTAGGTTCAATCGATAGCTTGCGTTTGAATTATATAATAAAAGTGTTTTTATTTTTCGTTTATGTGTCTTACGATAGTTTAAACGCGAGCGTGTGCTCACTAAATTAAATAAGGGAACGGCAGGTGGACATTAAAGATTAGATACTAATTAATTAAGTAGAATAGACATTTGTACTATCTATATATTATAATATGTAAATATCAATATGCTCGGATTATTTATTATTATCGCAAGCAATAAGAGTAATATCCCTTAATTATATAGTATTTATATCCGGTTATTTTAATTTAGTTCAGCATTTTCTCACGCGAGATAGTAAAAATCGTCTCGGCGACAAACTTTCACCGAATAAGAACAACGAGAGTGTTTAGTTTTGTAAGCATTTTATTTAAAAACGCAACAGAATAACAAAATGTTTAAAAAAAGTGGCTCAACAACGCGCCGGTCGCACCGACGCTTACAAATGCGCATATATACAAAAAAATAAATCCATGTCAAATAATGCTCGACCAACAGAGCGAACATGGACTGTTTTTCGTGAACTTTCTCCTTATTGGCGGCGAGTAATGGTATGAGGATTAGGATGGGTAAACATGTCATGTCAGTCAGTTTGGTCAGTTCAAGTCAATCGATCCTTACACAATTTCCTCCACGAAGTTAACGTACTATCTTGTAAGTTTCGATAAAACAGACAGTAGCTATTGTGGCTGAATTAACTGAGCAATTCGAGCACTTTATAAATTATTTAACGTATACGTATATTTTTCAAAGATAACGTTATTTTTCAGCAAATGTCGGGCTGCTGTATAGTAGTATATGTATAGTAGCTTCGTCGCGGATGTGAAAAAAAAGATATTTTTATACCGAGTAGGCATCCTCTCGCTCTTTCGATCACACACACACAAACCTATAATCTCTAACATCCGCAAATCTGTTGACATGCTTTGATAAAATTCGCTCAGTTGAGAGATGTAAATTGCTAAGGATCCCTTCTAGGTTGCATGTACCGCGTTCTTCCCAATCCATGGAAATCCTTCACGCCGCAGGCACGCTTTAATGATGCTTCTTCGCATGATGGTAAATGGTTTTGTAAACGGGAATTCTGATGGGATACGGCTTTATGACTGGAACGGGGATGTGTTTCTCGATTGTGATAGGTACCGGCTTCTCAATGGGTACTGGTATGTGCTTCTCCACAGGATAAGGCACCTTCTTCTCTACCGGAACCGCTATTGTTTTTATAACTTGTATGGGAATGTGCTTCGGTACGGGAACATGAACGGGATAAGGTTGTGGAACACCAACTGCTACCGGATGAGGCACAGCTATCGGCACTGATTTCGGGACCGGTATACCTGAAAGAAAATAATTCGAGAGAGGATAAAAGTGTGTCTTAAGACTAGAAATGGCAAAGAAAGTAAAAAGAGTAAGTACTTGAAGTTCTTTAACCTGTTGAAATTTATGCTGACGAAGAAAATAATATCCATGTACCAAGTTCTTTTGTATACATAGTATGAGAAAATAACTGACCAAAGACTATAATTTTTTGGCTACATATGCATAAAAAAATAGCAGCAAGCTATGACTTCCGCTGCTGATGCATAAATAATCAATAATAGCAATAAATTATGGACTCAAAATTTATTTTCCATAATTATTAATAAAGAGACGATTTTTTTATAGCACCGTAATTGCTAGTCCCATGTCTTTCAAGTATAGGTCACAGTCCAGAGAAAGATATAATAGTATACGTTACCGATGTGTTTGTAGACTGGTACGGCTACGGGCTTTGTTACTTCGACGTGTTCAGACACAGGAACACTGTGAACATAATTATGCCCGCTGTCCAGCGAGACTCCGTGGCCGCCATCGTCACCGCCGTGACCATTGTCATATCCACCGCCGGAAGAGAAATCTTGATGACCGCCGTCGAGACCACCACCGGACTCTAAATGCCCGCCGGAGGAACCAGCATCGAAACTGCCACCACCCCCATGGCCACCTCCGAGATCATCACCTCCGTAGCCACCCCCGTAGTCACCCCCGTAGCTACTACTTCCGTAACCACTGCTTCCGGAAGTACCGGCGATCTCCTGATCAGATCGATCGATCGCAAAGTGGCCGCTAAATAACTGCATCATGTAGTGTCTTCCATCTTGGTCCACGATCACTGGCGTGGCCGCGGCCAAGGACACCAGAGAAAGCAGCACCTACAAATAGAACATTTAAAAAATGGAAAGTGCGATAATAACTCGCAAAAGTCATATCGTGTAACAATACCTACACGTATACATTTTTTTTTAATTTTTTCTTCTAATTAATTTAATCTTCGCACAATTTACGTGTACATTAAATGTTGAGAATATTATCTGTGCTGTGATAAGATTATTGAAGCTTAAAAATTGCAAATTAATGTTCACGTACGAGAAGATTAACGCGATTTTAATAAGGAGTGTCTAAATAGATTTTTGGCCCAACTTCAATCCGACGACTTAGACTTGTCATATTTTAAATTGCGTTATCTATGATCCGGCAATTTACACTCGGTACTTACGATTCCACTCATCCTCTCACGTGTTTTTATTAGTGCGCTTCAAGTGTTGGTTGTAGCGCAAGTCTCTCGAATCGACTGATACATCTTTGGCCATTTCTCGTCTTAATATACCGCGGGGCCTTTCACTGTAGACGATGTGATTTCGTCTCGCTTCGTACTGCGGTGAATTATACTCGCCCGGTGCAATTGTTTCACTGCAGTCTACTAGCCGTGCGCGTGAAAATAATTGACCGTGTCCTCGCGGCCTTCACATTGACAACGAATCGGACATTTCCTATTCCGTTGTACGGGTGAGCGTCTACGAACGCGGATTTCCACGTTCACTGGGTTTACTGCCTACAACTTCACCGTTGCGCCAACATTTCATATGGAGAAGTCGCTGAATTTGCACGTCGTTCGTCGCGAGATCGTCCTGTCTCCACGGTTCATTTAATTATTCTAATTCGATGTTTTAAACCGATTGTTTTTATTATCGCTTCTCATCGCACTATTAACACACCACAAAAAGGATGTCTTTCGTTTTTGCCGGAACATATATTTATTCTGATTTTTTTAGTATTTATTTAATTTTCCTATGAGTTTATATTGATTATTATTTGACAAACAGAGTAGTTACTTAATATCATAACTAAATTGTTATTACATTTAACAAAATAAATAATAAGACAAACATTTAAAAAATATTTTTCTTAAAAGCTGTTGCAATATATAAAATTTTTAATTTGCATGTTATATGCTTTAACAACAAAAGTTAATTGTGATGTAAAAGATATTGTAGTAAGATAATTAGAATAAAATAATTATTTATATTTAATATAATGAAAAGAAGTTAATGCGATTTATGCACGTTTTGTTCTTCCTTTCACCTTCTTTAGCCTCATTATCTCTAGTAAAACTGATAAACATCTTATGTGACAAATAGCGATTTAATCACGAAACGCGAGAGACTAATTTTAGTGCACGCATATAAACTTTAGCTACCTATGTGTGAAGAGAGCATAACGAATGTGTGAACAATGTATCCAGGTACTTCGTGTACTAATTTTTTTTTATTATGATAATTAGCAAGAAAACATAGCACCTAGCGAACTGATGCGTGCCATTCCTGATTCGTGGAATTTCCCTTTAAACTTTCAAAAGTCTACCAGGATACGATCTTGGTATTTTCCTCGGAAAAGAGAAATAGGATTTCTTTTTTTTTTTTTTTAAGATAAAACGTAAGAATTTTAATATCAATTTATCAAAATTATTATGTACCATAATCATGCATGATTTTCAATGCAAAATGACGATTAAATTATTTGTGTATTATTAAAAAGAGATGGATATGAAAGGACGAAATTAATAAAAGCATAAAATGAATACTTTCATACTTTGGCTACTACGAGCTTGAAAGGGAAATATAATTGCTGGCTCAACTGAGCTGTGACCACTTCCGAAGAATCTAAAATGAATTACAGTTCATACAATAATAAATCAAATAAGAGTCGCTTAAAGGCATAAGTAAAGATATATTCAAAAGTTTCCGGGAAGTGATCTGAAATCAATAGTTAATGCTTTAATTATTAATTTTTATAGTTTATTACAATCTCGTATGATCACATGTCCGTGAGAATTACATGTACGGAAATGAAAGGAAGTGAAGGTCCACTATAACTTACATTACACTACATATATATATATATATATATATATATATATCCTATAGTTTATACACATGATATATTATATATAATTTTTCTATACATAATATATATCTCTGAGTAATTTATCATCTCTTTTATCATTTTTACGTTTAATACATAAAAATATATTTGCATAATGATTATTTGCATATATTTTTTCATCTAAAATGTCATTTACATTTATTTCTTAATCTATAGTATCTGGTTCTTAAATATCTGCATGTACATTTCTTTTAAAATTATTATGCTCATATTTATTAAAGTCTTGTGAGATAATAACTAAAGATATATAGACCGGTATTCATTCGGTATTCGGTTCTTATATTTAAGTCCGTCTTAAGTACAATCTTAAGATGTCATTAACCAATCACAGAGCCGTATTAGCATCAAGGTATTACTTAAGACGGTCTTAAAATAAGATCTGATTATGAATATCGGCCATATAAATTTATTTATGTTATTAATAATTCTTTTTACATATATGTAGTAGTAAATTTATGTAATAGTAAATTTGAAACGTTTGATAAATAATTTTATACTAATTTTTGGAAACTACAATCTAATTAGTTATGCTTTGTTTGGATTTAGATTTTTATTAACTCATTATTATTATCATCATTTTATTACATTGTTATCTTATTTCGCAAACAGGATAATAACAGGTAAATGATATTACGCACATAGTACAAAAAGGTCTCTTTATTAAATAACATTATTATTTGGTAACAATGAACAACGCACGCCAACAAGTATCTATAAACGCAATAACGGCGTTAACGGAAGACAGGCTATTAGGAAACGAATATTGTTCTCTCGACATATTATCAAGAAATATAACGACGGATCTTGATAACGGCAAGGCTCGTAACTCAAGAAAAACGAGTTTACTGTATCGCTATTGCTATTTAATGTCATCCGGTTTCACGGGAAGATGTTTCACGAATTAACAGTTATTTGTGTCGCTGGAATCTCGTCTAATAATTATAGCTTAACTTTTTCTTAATATATAGCCTCCTGCGACCGCGTTTCCTCGGTTTTCTTCGGTGGTAAATATGCTTGTAGACCGGTATGTGAATCGGATAAAGCTTTTCCACTGGAATGGGCACATGCTTCTCGACAGTTACTGGCACCGCCTTTACCACAGGCACCGGTATAATTTTCTCCACCGCATATGGTATCTTCTTCTCGACTGGAATTGCGATGGTTTTCACGACCGGCACGGCGATCGGCTGGGCGACCGGCACGTGGACGGGATAGGGTTGTGCAACACCTATCGCCATAGGATGCGGCACGGGTATCGTAACAGGCTGTGCTACTGGAACTCCTATAGTTTGAGGAAACGTGATAATTTACTTTGTGTTTTCTTTTCTGTCCTGTGTGGTCTTTTGAGCGTCGAAGTTGCTCAAGAGAAAAATCAATCTTTTTTTATTTGATATTTTCAGATAAACCATAATAAGAATTTTTTTACTCTTTCGAAAATTAAAACGTAGATTCGAGTAACTAAAAAGATGTGAAATGTTTATTAATCTTAATCATTGTAACGATGTAAAATAATACAAAAGTAAAACATTAGATAGAAAAAGATCACGTTATTCTCTATAAAGTAAAATTAATTAATCTTCTAAAAAATCTCAATATATTTACCATTATGTATAATGATACTGACTTAATACACTTTATGTGCTTGCTATCATTTACGGTTGTCGAGATTTAAGCGTTTAATGAAAATGATGAATGGCGAGGCGCCCGATTCTTTTGGCCAGCTCGCGCTATATTGCTTTAATAAACAAAAGTATATAATTGCGAGTAATATAATTGAGTAATTCCAATAGGGCAAAGTATAAAGTACAAAGTCTTTTTTAAATAATCTTTCTATCATTTACGGTTGCCGAGATATAAGAGTTTTATGAAAATCAGAAATCATTTGGCGCCCGATTTTTACGGCGCGCGCGCACTTTATTGCTTTAATAAACGAAAGTACATAATTGCGAGTAATATAATTGAATAATACCAATAGGGCAAAGTATAATACAAAGTCTTTTTTTAATCATCTTTCTATCATTAACTGTTGCCGAGATATAAGCGTTCTATGAAAATCAGAAATTATTTGGCGCCCGATTTTTACGGCGCGCGCGCACTTTATTGCTTTAATAAACAAAAGTACATAATTGCGAGTAATATAATTGAGTAATTCCAATAGGGCAAAGTATAAAGTACAAAGTTTTTCTTTAATCATCTTTCTATCATTTACGGTTGCCGAGATATAAGCGTTTTATGAAAGTTAGAAATCATTTGGCGCCCGATCTTTACGGCACGCGCGCGCTTTATCATGTTAAGTAAACGGAAGGACGTAATTGTTAGTAACAAAATTAAGATATTCCAGCGCAGAGTATAAACTAAACAGTCCTTTTTGAATCATCTCTATATCTTGGGTGGTTTCCCAGATATTTGCGATAAACGATAGGGAAGACTCTTTTTTTCTCGCGCCAAGCTAGCGACACATGGCCTTGACCTAATTTCGACGAACAGCTGTCCATTAATTGATCTACTTTCTAAATTAGCCTTGACCTAAGATTGCCAAATCCGCGAACGCCGGTGCGCGGCATGTGTGCGTGTATGCACGGCAACGTCTATCCGTAAAATTCATAGCTATTTCGATGTTTTTTCCAACTGATTTTTAAAGGTTTATTTTAAGTAGCGAGAGGCCTGCTTCCAAAGCAGCGTCGTTTATGCTGTCACAGCTTCTTCTCTAATGTGAGATGTATTATTAATGATATTGCAATCACATTAGCGCTAATTACAATATTTTATGTCGTTTTTGAATAATGTTTATATCTGTGGTGGTTGCAGAAATACATATAAGAATTTATTAATCGTTGGCTAACATTATGCAACAATATTCTAAGACTTTTTTATCGTTTAATGTTGTTCGAGAGATCATGCACTATGTTAAAGGGCACATAACAATGTTAACGTAACGTCATTTTTTAAGAATTTTTTTAAATTTGTATGCTGATTTAGGAAACGTTTTTATTGTTTTTTTTTTATTCAATAACGTTTTAAAACATTTTATTTTAAAATCTTTGAATTGCATATTGTTTATTGGCATAAAGGCATAAACAATGTATTATTAATCTTTTTAATATATCTTAACCAAAAAAGATCCGACGGCAACGGTAATCACTGATAGGATATTATTACATACTCGTATATTAAATCAACATGACAGCAATTGTTCGTACCGATCAAATAGATTTTGCAATATACGAAGATTCTCCTGATTATAAAATAGTACCTGCAATATTTAATTTGTTTATTAATTAATAAAACAAACTATTCCTTGAAATCACGAGGTATACTTCGTTGGATAAAACATTCATTACAGTTGATTTTAATTTGTTATCATCTTATTGTTAATCTTGCAATATACACATATATGCGTACGCGTGAATTATATGTGATACATATGTATCACATAAGCAAATGTTATTAATAAGTACATATTAATTTAATGAACAATACATATTAGTATTAAATTATTATTAAGTAATAGTGAGAAATACATTATGTAATTATTCGCTGACACGCTTGAAAGATCATAAAAATTATGAAAAAAAATTTGAGTTGTGAGAAAAGCGAGAATCGCGAGTTTGGAGTCGTCTGTAATTCCTCAGAAATTGCTCCTGTTACGCGGGAAGCATGATGAGCGAGGAGGTTGCAGTAGGTATTCGAACAGCGCGCAGCGGCAAAACGAGTTTAGAGTCGTATTTAATTCCTCAGAAATCGCTCCTGTTACGCAGGAAGCATGATGAGCAAGGAAGTTGCAGAGGTATTCCGGCAGCGGCACGCCTACCCCCACTTATTACCCATCTCCGTCGGAACGGCGCGCGGTACGGAAGCCCAGCCGACGGCCAATCAGAGCGCTGGCGGGTATGCACAGAAGGGGCAGTAGGCTCCCGCCTTCTGATCAATAGCAGCGTGACTAAGCGGAGGCAATGTGGGGAGGCATCATCCTCGTTTAGAATACCTCCGTCAACCTCCTTGCTTAACATGCTATGCTGATACTTTTGCCGATTTAAACGCGAGTTTTCGACGCTGAGAATCGCCATTTTCGTCTAACCTCTTAATAGAATATGTACTTTCAACCATTGTTATGATCTTTTGTGCATCTCTACGATACGTGATCAAATTCTTTTAATTGTTTAAATTTAACCTATAAACAGTAAAATACGAAATTTCGTTTATTATTAGTATATTTATTAATTATATTTGTTTAAATTACAATTAATTGACGCTTAGGCGGCACGTAAAACGCTTCAACTCATTTCCCACGGTGATCATGACACCGTAAGTAAATTGAAAAAACCCGTAATGCATGTGTTTTTCTCGGAACAGCAAGATATAACTTACATTACTTTGGCAAAAAGTTTTTAATTATTTAATAGAGATTAACAAGCTCATGAAACAATTAGCGTTGTGTCAACATATAATTTCTGTGACTCGTTTAGTATCGAACGACGGGATTCGTATAGCTCCTTTCTCTCGTTGCCTAGCATTATGCAAAGGCATTTTATAACTCTTTATC